CTTTGGTCGAGTTAATATGAATACATTTATAAAGTTCTTGAACTCTTTAATATGATCTACTGTAAACATGTTTCTACACCATTAGCAACACATTTTACGTTATTTAAAAGAAACTCTCCAATTAATGAGGTAGATAAAAGTAAGATGAAGAATGTTCCATATACTTTTGTAGTGCGTATTTTGATGTATTCAATAGTTTGTACTAGACCTGATATTGCCCATGCAATGTGAGTTGTTTTTAGATTTATATTTTATACAGGTTGGGGACATTGAGAAGCTGTTATGTGGATCCTTCAGTATGGGATACGAAATGTATGTTTGTATTTTGAGAACTCATCATTGGAAGTTGTTGGTTATGTAAATACAAACTATGTAGGATTTCGTGATACTATAAGGTCTACCACTTGGTACATTTTTAACATTGGTGGTGGTGCAATCAGTTGGATGTCAAGGTTACAAGATATTGTTGCTTTGCCATCAACTGAAGTTGAGTATCATTGACAGAGGCAACAAAAAAAATGATTTGGTTGAGAAGGTTACTTGGCCAGTTTGAGGTGTAACAAGATAAATATGTTGTGCATTGTGAAAACCAGAGTGTTATTCATCTGGCTAAGAATGTAGTTTATCACTTCACGACAAAGCATATAGAGGTCAGATACCATTTCATTTGGTTGGCACTAAGGTAGACAAGATTCACACTAAGAAAAACATTGTTGTTATATTGACAATGGTTGTTTCAATCGAGAAGAACAAGGTGTGCAGGAGACTTTTGGGGTTGGAAGAGATGTAACTTCGAGTGGATGAAGAGTGATGTATTGGGGGTTATTTTAGAGGCTTAGTGATTTGTCTTCAAGTGGGAGATTGTTACATGTATTGGTAGTTATTTTAGAGGCTTAGTGATTTGTCTTCAAGTGGGAGATTGTTACATTTGATTTTTCTTTCTCTTATTTTGGATCATTGGATTGCACATAATCTAATGGTTGAGATGTTGTAGGAACTTTCCTCTTTAAAAGCGCATATTTCACTTTGTCCTAGTGAGAGAAAGAGTGAAAAAAAATATAGAGAGATTGATTGAAATTGGATCTTCTCTTGGGGGTTTGATGTGTGCTCTATTTTAGAGAGAGAATATGAACAAAAGGCTTGAACCAATTGTGGGTATGGTGCTGGCCTTGTTTTAGTGAGAAAAAGTGTCAAAGGGAACCCATTTTTAAGTGTTCTTGGTGCCTTGTTTTTGGGCCTTGTTTAAAGTGAGAAAAGGCTGCTGGAAATTGATGTTTTGAGCTCAATTTCACCTTTTAATTTTATCAAATCAGTAAGTACAGTCTTGCACCATTCTTCCATGGATGTAGGCCACATTTTGTGGTTGAGCCACGTTAAATCTTTGTGCTCTGTGAATGTATGTTGATGTATTTTTATTCCTTGTTGATGCTTTGATTCCATATACTTTTCATTGCTTGTTTATGTTCATTTAGATGTACAATAGCTGTAAATGTGATAAACCTATGCTGATTTTTCTAACAATCGATCCCAATAATTGACCCATCTGACCTGCCATACTCCATCTCTAACTCCTTATGCTTCAAGTCCAATGCCATCTTCTCGTTCTCAAGTTTCATCTTCTCATTCTCAAGCCTCATCTTATCCAACTCTCTATCCTTCTTCATGCTAAACATTTGCCACTTACCTTTGCTTCTCCAACTCCAAAGCTTCCACCTGAATGGCCAACTATTGCTCCTCAAGCTACAAGCTTCGGTTCCTAATTCAAAGCCTCTAAACCCAAGCTGCCAATGCATTTTCAGCCAAAGAATTATTCTCTTCTCCTCCAAAATATTATGACACACACCTCTCAGATGTCTAGAAACTCGCCTCCTCAAGACTATTAAGTTGCAATTTCATCCTCTTTGGAAAAACAAACACCCCCAATAAACCCATCCCACCCATGCAAATAATTAAAAATTAGAGCTAGGAATAGGGTTAGGGTTGTTATCCTCTTCATCGTCCTCCCCTTCCTCAACATCATCATCATCATTTTCACCCCCACAATCCCTTCCATTTGAAGTTTCTGTCCCCCTCTCCCCTCGTTTCTTTTGAGATAAGAAAGCAGGCTTTGCTGCAAAGATGGGTAATCGATCAAATGGGTTTGGTTTCCATAATGGTATGAATGCATCTCCTCATAAAGCAAATGCTTCGAGCTTATGATGTTGCACACATCCTCCTTGGCATTCTATCAGAGGTGGCCCATGCAGTTCAAGAGGAATGGTCTCTTTGAAGATAATCCCTAAAAATTAGCAGTTTCAATTTTCATTTCATGTGGATGGAAACGCTTAATTTAAGTATGACCTTTCTCCTTTTTTTGGCCTAAATAAGAATAAACAAAAAAATATTCTCTACCGAAATTGCCATATTTTAAAATGATCGAAATACCCGATTTACATGATCCCTTCTTAGCCAATTAAAAAAAGATCACCCATTGAACAAAAGCCCTATCAGGATAGCATGTAATCAATATATGATATAGTGGAACAAAGAACTCCAGTGGGAGTGTGGTCCCGAGGGACTAAGAGATTATAGTCCAAAGGGATCGAGATAGGCAAATGCTATTTGTCGATACTCGGACTTGGCTTGATGAGCTAGGCAGGTCGAGTTGGAAAAACCCTCAATTCTTGAGCATAGAATAAAATTGATGAGGGTTTATGGGTTATCCCTTGATGATATCGGAGTTGCCTAGAGAAGTGAGCCAAGGGACTATGTGATCCTTGTGCTTGGCGAATGACCTCTAGAGACGAGGGCCAACACCCTATCACTTTCAATCACACGGCATGTGCATATGATAGTCATTTCGGGAAAGCAAGACGCCACGGAGAATGCAACATGCACATGTGCGAGAGATTTTCCCTATGCACTGTAGAGCTATGGTTGCATCCAGTCTTGTGACCATAGGTTCGTCTCTAGGGGAAAACATATAATCCATAGTTTGAGATTATGTCCATTTACCTATTGGCTGATTTTGATAGCTCAATCATAAATCCTTATAGTGGTATGTAGGTCATGAGAACTACTAAATCAATTTGATAAAGTAAGTGTGAATTATAGTCCACAGTAGAAGATGTAATTCTTCAGAAATATTAATTCCTAAACCTAGAAAGATCCTATTTCTATCAAATTCATTTGGTTTTATTTTGATATTAATTGACTTTTATAATGAATATTTCAATTTTCATTATTTAAATAATCAGAAAAAAAATAAAATGTATTTCTCAAATACTAAAAATCAATATTTTTATTTTAAAAATTAATATAATAGATGAGGGCCCATGGGGCCCCATTGGGATGTGCGCAAGGCCCACTATGAGAGCCTTTGTTGGCACACCCCACTTAAAATGGGGAATTCTCTACAAATTTAAGATCCACTTATCTAGGATCTATTTCTTTGATATATGTTTGGTTGACCATGGTGATCTTGGTGATTAAGTCAATTATAAACATCCTGTCTTATGAAGTCCTGATGATATTGGACTTCTAAAAAAGATACCGATTAAGTAAAGAGATTTACATAGACAGACATTATTTGACCAGACAAATACTATATGATATTTTTCATATCTTTTATATTTGATGGGATAAAGGTTTACAAAGCTGAAAGAGAAAGTTCTGCATAATCATTTTAACCATGATGGTTGATTTAATGAATGAATGACTCAGATATCTCATCCCATAGGTCTCCTAAGATCAATAGAACTAGATCAATATATAGAATGACTATTCTTAAGAAAATTCTATCTCCCTAAAAGGTCTATAAATAGAGGCATACTCACATCTCATTCTCTACACCAAAATTCTCTCTTTCTAAACTCTCTAGGGTGCAATGCCACCCTCTGGGAAATTCCTCTCTCTCTCTCTCTCTCTTGAAGGTCTCATCCCTCTAAAGAGAGACAAGGGGCACACCTCCAAAAGATCCTATAGAGGTGGGCACACCCCACTCATAAAATTGCCCAAGGCATTGAGGCCTTCGTTTGATCAAATATTTTTTGCTCTCATATTTTTGTAAATGGGTTTATCCAGCGCTTTTTCATATCTGGAAGATCCGCGATTGACTATTAATCCCGTGGCCATAGGAGGAGACCATGTGTGTGGTGTGAGCTGTACTAAGTATGATCGAGGTAATCTTCCAACATCTTGCTCTATGGTTTGCAGTATTTTATTTTTTATTCCTACAAAGTACTGTGTTGTTGTTATTCAATAAAAAAAAATTGTAAATAGAGGTAGCAAGTGAGAACCAATTTATTTATTTATTCTTTTTTAGTTGAATTTATTATAATTGGATTATTGTAAGTGTTCTAATCGATGAGAAAAAAAAAAAATTAAAAATTGTGTACACCGTGCTACACCTTTGTCCAACTTTCGGTATTCACTTGTATTACGATAGTAGTGTTGGGTGAGGCTGAACCTGTCCTACAAATAAGTCAAGCTTGTAAGCTAGGGCCGCACGGTTGGCTAAAAAAAAACAAAGGAAAAAAGAAAGAACAAATAAAAAAAGAGAGAGAAAGAAGAAGAAGAAGAAAAAACTCTAGCATTGGTGACTCCAATCACCCAAAATGTTACCCCACAGTGAAAATATTCTCCTAATATTGATTAATTATGAAAAATGCCAAAAGTTGGCTCGAATCCATGATAGCCCCTATTTCTCATGCAAAACTTCACAAAAAACACATACCAAATCACTGCAAATTCATTCCCAGCTCATGCCCATGAATGTAATGTTGCAGCTGATAATCATCGAAGAATTGAAATGAATGGATAAAAACGAAATTATATAATAGACCATTTCTAAGCCTTAATCTTTTCTAATGTTCTGGATGATGAATTTGTTAAATGTTGAATTGAAAATCCATCTCCAAAAAAGATATTGAAATGGTGGACTTACACAATGTAATAGGTATGTTCCAAGGTGCATGTAAAACCTGATATTTCATAAAAAGAAATTTACAGTATACATGATATAGACCAAAACACCATGTCCAAGGTTCAAATTTCAGCTGACATTCTCAAAAGGGGAGAGAAAAAACAGAAGAAAATGTGAAACAAGAGTTACATATAGTTGAGAGGCACAACATTTTTGACATGATTATTCGTTTCACTTTCTTGCGCTTGCCCTTGCCCTGTTTTACTTCTTAAGAGGTTGGAGTCTGAGCTGACTTTTTCATCTTGTGGATCTTAGTATACACATCCCTGGTTCGAAATGCCAGCAAAATATCAAGTCCAAATCCGACCAAACTCACGATTGCCATGATCACAAACACCGCCTTGTAACAATGAGCACCGATGCAGGTGTTGCTACCCCCTGCTCCTCGTGTGGCTTGTGCGTCGTACAGGATACCCGCGAGTAAGCCCGAGAAGAGGAAGGAGCCAAGGGGGAGAGTGAGGATTATAGTGTTATAGATTATGCCATAATGTTTGAGGCCAAACAGTTCAGATGCGATTGGAACTGAAACTGCTATCCTCACACCATAGCATGTTCCCACTACAATAGAGCCAATATAGAGTGATTCTGGCAATGCAAATGCCAATATAAAGTACCCAATCGCCATTAAAATCTGAGAGGCAGCATTCCATAGAGGTCGTGGCGTAGCTGACCTTCTGTAAAAACATGGGAATGAGAATAGTAAACATTTGCGATACCTTTCATAAGGAAAAAGAAAAAACGATAAGGAGAAGAGTAAACATAGAGTGACTATGGAAAGATGAGCACGTATAACATGCTAATTCGGGAGCATGGTTTACTTCTATTCCTCCAAGACCTATTTGAGAGATCTTATTTTAATATGAAAATTTTGGGAATTATTTAAGAATTATTGGATGATTATTTATTTATTTATTTTTTTAAGATTTAACTTTTTTAAGACTCACTTCTCACTATCTAAAAATTGAATAGTCTCTATTCAACCTCAAGACATTATTTTTTCAAATGCATAGAGGTTATTATTAGGATTTTTTTTTTTTATTACTGAAGTTAATGTTGGGATTGGAAAGATTACATCCCCAGAAATTTAGGTCCTAAAATTAATTCTAAAAGGGGTTTTACCGGAGGGAGTAAATGACCGATCTACTCCCGTGATAGTAGAATACCTTTCTGCGTGAAAGATTAAAGTGTACTAACTCAAAAGGAAAATAGACGCAACACTTGGGGCGTGTTTGTTTTCTCAAACTACTCTTTCATATTTTTAAAAAGTTTCGCGTATGTTTCACACTTTCTATCTAAAGTTCGGAAACTAATTTTTCAACAAAAGTTCTTATTACTTTGTCACAAGGTCAGCTAATAATCAAGGCCAGATCCAATGATCACGACCTCATTTTGTATTAAATTTTTATTTTTTTATACAAATCCAAATCACTTGAAATTTTGAGAATCTATTCTTCAAAAATAAGAAAATCTAATAAAAATATAAAAAAATAATTTATAAAATAAATATTGATCAAATGCCCCCAAAACTTTTCGGGAGTATTTTGTTTAATTTTTGTTTAGCAAATTATTATTTTTTAATATTTTTATTAGGTGTGTCTTAATGAGAAGAATGAAGACCTAAAATTTCAAGTGATTTGTTTTTGTACAAAAAAAAATTGAAAATTCAAATGCGAAATGAGATTGTGACTGTAAGTTCAATCTAGACTGTTGGCTGACATTGTAGCAATCAGCCCACGGGCTGACAGAATCCATTCCCAATACATAATATTAGTATTATTATGATATAACATAATATAATATTACTATAACATAATATTATATTTTAAAATATTACATATATATTATATAATACAATATAAATATATAGTAATATTATATATTACATATACTATATAATCAATCTATAAATATCTTCTATTATATTATAAAAAAATATTATAATACATATATAAACTTTCCATAACAAAGCATTCAACTTTTCAATTTAAAAACATTCAATTTTTCATAAAATATCTTTCAGAAAAACAAACGCACCTTTAATAATTCCTCCAAAAGAACTTATCAATCCGTTTTAGCTTTGTTTATTCATGCATCACTTTTTCTTTGGTTTCTTCACTTCTATTAATTATTTACTGATGTCCACCACGAATCAAGTTGTTGTGCACCACAACCGCAATTCACGGTTGGTTTTATGTTTGTTTGTCCATTCTTTTCCTGGGGTTTCTTCTTACCTACGCAGGCATCCAGGGAGTCCATGATTTGATGCTGGCGTAGTAAGCCTCTTAACCAATGGCATTGCATATTATTGTCCACTATCGAGTTGAGGAACACGCTCGCCGCAAATCTGATTAGGGGCACTTTTTTTGTGCGCCTACCGATTTCTTTTTTTTCAAAATGAGTCATTTGCTATACTTCTTTGTGGTAAGCACTAACTATATTATTCTCAATTTGTTTTTTTCCTTTTTAATATTTGTGAGAGAGTTGCTTCACATCCACTTGAAAGTGCTTTATTTAGAGCGATAGAAAGAAATTTGGGAAAGTTATAAATATTATAATTTATGTTTTGATATCACACTATTAACTTCAATACTATTTTTTTTTTTTCAACCGCTTCGAGTTAACTTTTCTTTGGAATAAAATATCATCTCTTTTGCCACGTGTTGCACTCTCTCTAAGATGGTCTCACACAAAATGTGCCGGACCCGTACAACTTGTTTAGAGCCCGTTTGGCACATTTTTTGTTCCAAACTAGCTCTTTATTCAACTTGTACTGATCCTGCACATTTTTGTGCCAGACCAAACAACTTGTATAGGACAAGTACAACACATTTTTTCATGCTGGACCATGTCTATATTCAACTTGTGCCAGAAGCCAATCCGACACAATTTTGTATTGGATTGACACATGTTGGGCGTCATGTTTTGAAACATAGGTTAATATTAATATGGGGGGCATTTGGCCCAAAAAAGTTTATCTTTTTTATTTAAGGGAGGCTGTAAAGAAAAATATTGTTGGAGTTAATAGTGTGGTGTCAAAACGGTTAGGGGAGGATGCCTAAAAAGTACAAATTAAAGGGTATAATTTCCCCATTAAATTTACCACCTTACTAAAGAAAGGGATAAATAACTGAGAAAAATTAACCAAAATAAGTAAAAATATACAAATAGACTATTTAATTTTGGCACAAAGAGGTCACAAACACTCTTGCCCATCAAATTTCAAATCGGGTGGTTGTAAGAGTGTCATTGAGTAGACTCAAAGTTAAAAAAAAATTAAAATTATTGAACTTTGTGATACATTCTAAGCCATCTAATTTGACATTCAATGATTATGAGTAATTGTGATTTCCTTATAATAAAGATAAATGGTCTCATAGTATAACATCCCAAAAAAGAGCAAATTATGTACGGACACTGCTTATTCTTTTTACAAACACAAAGAGCTGTCCGGTGTTTGTATTACTGGACAACTAGTTTCTTTGTTAAGCTCTTGTCCAATAGTGTTGATACTGGACAGTGGTGTAGTTCTATGCTGTCTGGTGTTCGTATTACTGGACAACTCTTTGGAATTCCCCAAAATCCCGTCCGCCCTTTCTTCCTGTCATTTCTTCTCTTCTCTCTCTCTCTACAACCTAGAGCTCCCCCTCTCTACAGAGCAATTGTCTGAAACTTCCCAATCACATAGGAAAGAGAAAAAATATCAAGAAGAAAGAGCAAACAAGATTTTGGGGGATTTCAAATAGCTGTTCGGTAATATGAACATCGGACATCATAAAACTACACCACCGATCAGTATCAACCACTGAACAGTATCAACACTACCGGACAAGAACTTAAGAAAAAAAATAGTTGCCTGGTTATACGAACGCTGGAAAACTCTTTCGCTTGCATAAAGTATATGCCCAGCTGTCCAGTATAGGCCCTATGTCCGGTGTCGTAATTTATAACAAAAATAGCATCAAAGGGTAAGCACCCCCAATAGTGTGGTACCTAATTTGCCCCCCAAAAAAATAATGAACAAGTAAAAATAGTATATAAATAAATAAATAAATAAATAGAGAGGGAGAGAGAGAGGACCTGAGTAAATACTCGGAGAGGGTTCCGGAAGCAATGCGGCCAAAGAAACCCCATATGCTCATAAGTGAGACGAAGACTGATACGTCTGCTCGCCCAAGAGCCTCTCCTATCTGCCCCATGTTGTTCATCATTGCCAAACCACTGCCCACCCCACACAGCAATGACACAAACAACACCCAAAAATCTAACTTCCCAAACGCTTGCCAAATCGTGTGCTCCTCCCCTATCAATGGCTTCCCTCTCTTCCCCTCCTCCTCTTTCAACCCTTCAACATTACCTGCTTCTTTCTCACTCTCTCCATTTTCCTTTACTACTTCTTTCCCTCCCTCTCCCTCTCCATCTCTTTCTCCCTCTTTCTCTTGAACCTTGCTCTCTTGGCTTGCCTTGTGCCCCTCGGCATCCCACAATTTGCGGCTCGCAAACGGCCGCAGAGCCGCACTCACGGGGACAGCCACTGGGGCGGCAAGCAACAGCAATAAGCCCACTACAAATGCTCGAGATACCACACCCTTGTGACTTCCTGTGAGATCAAATATCAAGAGATAGAATGCGATGGCAAAAGCACTTGCATTGAACGCCCAAAAGTAACGGCCCTCTTGACGATCCTCATCGGTGTCGGAGGCTGGGGGCACCTCCCGCAGGAAGAGCATGGAGGGGATGCACACTGCGCCGGGGATGAATGTGAGCATGAGGAGGAAGTACGCTGGGTTGTTGGCAAAGAGGGCGGAGCCAATGTCTGTGAAAATTGCGGTGCTGAGGCCGACGTAGCCCTTTAAGATCCCGGAGACGGGGCCGCGGTTTCGCCTGAAGTTCCTGAGGCATGTCACTAGCACTGCTGTGTTCATCCATGTGGTGCTGTTGCCCCCCATGCACATGAATATGCACATCTAAAGCAATATTGTGTGCATTGAAAGTTAGAGAATTGCCAATTAAAATAAATAAATCAATTCAAAAGAATTGCAAATTTTTTCTGCTTCCAAGCATTACCAATCATGGTTAGAGGCTTAGAGCTTGCGAATTCTCCAGTTAATGGCTCACCCACTTGTGAAAGTGCTAGGCACTGAGATTGACTCCTATCATCTGTCTCTGCGGTTTGTCTTTTTATTATCTCTACACTGTATTTAACAACTTTGGGAAAAACTTGTGCCAGGCACGTGTCTGATTCCGACACCTCAAAAGCTCATCCAAGACATATTATATGTTAGGGTGCGGTAACAATCCAATTAAAGCGCACCTTAAAATTAACATGTAATTTTGTTGTAGAAAATTCTTAGTATTATCTTAAATTCTATTTTCATATCTAATTAGAAAATTTTTAAATTTAAAAAATAGTTAAAATTAAGTAGATCTATAAATATATGAAAATCTTGAAAATGGATGGCCTACATAATATGTGGCAAGATGCACTACGATCGATTAGAGTGTTTTTTCAACATTAAAACAACATTTTCAATAGATTTTTGAGATGTATTTGTGATTCTACATTTTAAGATTGCAACCCTATATAAACTTTTCCCTATATGTTATCCTAATAAGGCTAAAAATATGTTGATAAGTGCTATGGTGAAAAGCAGTGCTAGACTACTAGGGCGAGCCAACCTGGACTCAGTAACTCACGCCTTGAGTATCCCGAGTTTGGTGGTCAAGGTTGGGGTTATTACAAAAATATAAAAATTTCAAAGGAATAAGAAATTTCTTTATAATATATTTTTTATGTTTTGTATCATTTTGGGGAGACCGTAAAGTGTTTTGGGCATGAATATTTATTTTTTACTTTTTTTTAATTATTATTTATAAAATATCTCCGATCACAAATTAATTATTTCAAAATCTATTTTTCACTATTTTTAATCTCATTTACATGTATTTTGTTTAATTTTACTTTAAACATATTTATCATTATTTTTTAACACTTTTTAACCTGGCCAAGACCTACCAACACAAGCCGAGTTACTCAGACTCGCCTTGGCCAGGCAGGTTCTAAGGCTGAGCCGTGCTTTCCTACACTAATTTTGAAAGTGGACCAAGTTGAGAAAGTATACAAGAATAAAGGTATTATATTTTGGACAAAACCATATTTGCCCCCACTAGACCAATACCATTCAAGCAATGCCCTTCAACACTTTCTAAATCACATAACTAAGTCTAATATTGTATATTCTTGCATCCACCTCTCAAGTAAAATAGTTAATTTTCAACCAATGTTTCTCTCCCATCTTACCACAATCCCACTTGTGTCAGTCTATCACAAAATGTGCAAGACTTGCTTCAATTTTTAACTTGAAGCCGGTCTAATAAAAAATATGCTAGACCAGCTTCCGGCCCCAAAGTGTGCCGATTCGATACACTTTGTGCTCGACTCACTTCAATGGCTCAAAGTATATCAGTCCAACACATTTTGTGTCGACCAACTTCTAGAGCCCAAAGTGTATCAATCCAACACAAAATATGCCAAACTGCCTTCTAAGATATAAAATGTGTCAATACAACACAAAATATGTCAGACTGGCGTTTGGGCCCCAAAATGTGTTGGTACGGCACAAAATGTGCTAGACTAACCTACAGTGAAAGTGTGAGCTTGATAAGATGGAGAGAATCATGGGTTGAAATGGCGTATTTTCATCCAAAAAATAAAATTTTTACTTAGGATGGGTGTAAGAATAAACAATACTGATTTGGTTTAAGTAATATTTTGGGTTTAGCTGGGAGGGGACGGTGATGTATTTCCCATAAAGTTGGGTCAAGGGGTATGTATAATTTCCCGCGTAAAATTTTCAACAAGTCTAAAGGTTAAACCGTCATTCACTGTTTCAGAATTTGTTCCCTTTCCGTTGGTACTGACACCACCCTATTAATATCTTAAAAAAAAAATTTAACTCTTAAACAACTTGAAAAAACAGGCAGAGGCCGGCCTTCCCCCACTGAATTACCCCCGAAGAAAAAGAAAAACGCAGTTGGCTTAAAACCTCAGGTCCTTAAGACGCTTTAAGTAGACCTCGCCTTCTTTATTTAATGAAGTCTTGGCTTACCCAAAATTATGAAAGGAAAAAATAAGAGCCGAGAAGAGAAGTCCAGTCTAGTGTGCGAAGAAGTATTAGGGTGTTCAAGGGAGTGAAATGGAGAGTACCTGCCAATAGCTTAAGGGTCGAATGGTTTGGTTAACGACGAGCCACTGTGCTCCATAACCCAACAGGCCTTCAAGTGAGCCAATGAGGAGGATAACGGAAGTGGGGAGACGATCGGAAGCGAAGCCAGCAACAAGACCGAAGGCTTTGCCGACGTCTTTTGCAACTGAGAGGTTGTTGAGTTGTAACTGAGTGAGGCCCATGAGGGATTTCAGGGCGACTGAGTAATTCGCAAAGGTGTAATTGTTGCCAGAGATGGCTTGCACCCACACAGCGGCAACGAACCCCACCCATTTGTTGGTAACGAAGGCGAGGCATTGTGCCATTGCTCTCTCTCTCAAAAAAAAAAAACCAGGAGAGTTAGTAGAAGGGCTTGGTCCCACGCAGGCACTCAAGACACCAGAGGGAGTTGCTTTAAGGACTTGGACCTTAATCTCACTATTGCCTATGCACTCACACTCACACTCACACACACACTCAAAGACTAAGCGATGTTTAGTTAGTGGGTGTGGTTGGAGAGGGGGCGGAGATGGGTCTTATATAGTGTTTATTGTTACCTAGGTGGAAAGGTTAGAGTTCCTCTTCTAGCCAATTTGAAACTTTTTTTTAACCTTATCTTTTGCTCTTTTTTTTATTTTTTTTGGTTTACTACGGTTCTTGTTTTCCTTTCTTTTTTGGGCACATATATTGTGTTTCCTTGGGAGCATACTTTACTCCTGCCTCGGTCAAATGACTTATATGAGAGATTTTTTTATAATGAAATAGTGTAAATGTGCAACTGGAATATTATGTGATCACTGCGTACCAATAAAGTTGAAGGGTAAGTTCTACAGGACAAGTTGTCGGATCAGTTTTGCTCTTTGGGAATGTTGGTCAGACAAAAAACAATATATCCATAGAATGAGTGTAGGGGCGATGAGGACGTTGATATGGATGAGTGGCAAGACAAGAAGAAATAGAATTTAAAATGAATCCATTCAAGGGAATTTAGGTATGACACCAATATACGATAATATGAGAGAGAATAGACTTAGGTGGGCTGGCCATGTGTGGCGTCAACCAAGTACAACACCTGATAGAAGATGACAGTTAGTCCAAGTGGAAGGACTTAAAAGAACAAGGAGTAAGCTCAAAAAGACGTGGTTGGGAGTAGTTTAGAAAGATATGGGGACTTATGACTTCACTGAGGGTATGTCCTTTAATAGAGCAGAATGACATATCAAGATTCGTGTAGCCGACCCCAATTGATTAGAAAAAAAACTATAATGATGATGATGATGATGAAATTTTGGTATCCATCTTAAAATAAGTAAATGATTATTCTTAATTTGAAAAAAAATTGAAATTTAAGTTTCCAACACTTAGATATCACCTTCTCAAAATTGGACCAATTTTATTCAATCTTGAAACATTATTTTTTTAAATACCTAAATGCAATTAGGAAAGTTTTATCATTGAGGTTAACCTATATGTTAAAAAGTTTATACCACTAAAACTTGGGGTCCTCAAGAGATTTTACCGGAGGGAGTAAATGGACAATATACTTCTATGGGAGTAAATATCTTTTGGCTTGAGGTTTTTGTTTTCGTTTGTTTGCTATAGTGGGGGTGTTTGGTTGTGGTTTTAGAGAGAGAAAGAGAGTGTGTTTTCATGAGATCAAGAGAGATGGTGCATGCATGGTGGTATTGTAGGGGCTCACTCTATAGCATAGGGGCCAAGGGGCCCGCCTGTTTTGTTACGTTATTGTAACATAATTATAAGTAGAGAGAGTACTACGTTGGCCGTACTTAATACGGAGTTTTTCATTTTTTTAACAAGAGTATCTGAATATTATCAAATCAAAGAAGCAATTACAATAATATAAATTTTAAAACAAATGGGGACAGAACTGAAAAAATGTAAAAGAGCTCGTTTTTTTTTTTTTGCCAAATCATCCATAATGGGGTTTGCCTCACTGTAAACATGATTGAAACTACATTGTTGTGAAATGTTAGTTTCATAATTTGTAATCATAAAGATTTAAACTGTCAAGGTGTTGCTTATTTTAGTTTATCACCATAGTAGTATAACGGTTGTGATAAATTAAGGCGCAAAGGAAAAGAATTGTGGCCCCAATTTATTGGGACTTTTTTATTAGAGTTTATGCGTTTGATGATGAATGAGGGGAGAAAAGAAAAAAGGTGGCAGCACTGTTGGATCATTTCGGAGGAGAAAACAACAAAGAGGAGAGGGAGTTGGAAAGCACACAATCCACCTGATATGACACCTGAACATATTTTGAAAAGGAAAAACAACAAAATTTTACAATTTAAAGCTATTTGTTTAGAACTTCAGATCAAGAATAACAATCAACTGAAACTAGATGTTTAAGCAGCAGTTGGGAGAAATAACTAAAAGGTTTGTATCCCATGAGACCCCTTTCAACTTACTATGGGTACATGGAGTTCAATTCACGATTATATATAACTATCTTACGTGAAATCCAACAGCTTGGATGTGTCAATTGGTTTTAAAAAAAAATTTGGAACTTTAATCTTGGCCATTAAAATAAATGTAGCCACTCAATTTTGCTTTTAATTGTCAAGATCAAGTATGATGTCCATGTACCAAAAATAAATCATCTCATTGTATATTTTTCCATATCTAAATTAAGTGTAGCAACCGGCTGGACCTTGGCCTTCCCATAGTGTTAGACCGAGCAGGCCAAAAACAAATGAAAGAAAACAAAAAGAAAAACAAATAGCCAGGCTAGGATGGGCTGGCACTGACCCTAGCCCAACCCTCCAATGGGCGAGAACTTGTAACCCCAACCCTACCTTTTTAGGGCCGGGCTGACCATGACAGGCGGCTGCCTGGGCCATTGCCATCCCTTATTTAAGCAAGTGGAGACAAAAGAGAGGGAAGAAGAGGGCGGGTGCGGTTTTGTGAGTTCGTGGTGGCCACATAAAGTGAAGGATGGGAATGGTGACACAACCAAGCGCACACAGTGGGTGGGAATGGTGTCCAATTGGAAAACCACAACACCCATTTAAATCCGTGCACCCAACCTATTCTACTCAATATTTCTTTTAGGAGGCGACATTAGGAAGTACTATGTAATGCATAGTGTTCCGTCTCTATATAGGGTGCCCTTTGTATAGAGCCGAGCATCTAGACATTCAAATTAAAACCCACCTTCAAATAATGTTAAAAAAAAGATGGTTTTAATATTGAAATTGTTTTATTAGTTTTTAAATATATTCTTATTTTTAATTATAAATTTTTAAATTTCAAAAAATAATGTAGATCGAGCAGATAATTTTAAAAATTGAAAGTTCAAAAATAAATTGAAAGTTCAAAAATACGATACAAGATGCATTATTTTCAAAACTTAAAATTCATTTTTTTTCTCAAGTCCACGCATCTTGATGTCGAAATGAACAATTTAAAAATATTTATACAATCTCTTCTAATAAAATTTTTGAAATATGCTTTAATTTGAATGTTTAGAGCCTAGGCCCTATATAATATTACTCACTACTGAGATTTCAACTTTGAAGTACATGGAGCTTATGGTTACAAACGTTAAATTTCGTTAATGGACATTTGATACGTGGGACCCGATATATGTGACTACGGTAGCAGCCATGTCGGTAGCAGCACTCAATCCATCTATAGTACGATATGGTAATAATAATGACATAGGGACTAGCGTTTTGTACTTGTGGTAGTACTTCCTATAAGGGACTGTTTGGTACCTGTAGATGCACTGGAAATTGTATTAATATCTTAATATTAGTAATATAATATTTTACAATATTATAATATTTTATTATTATATACCAAGATATCGTGACTCGACTTAATCGAGATACTCGTCCATTGGCCGATACAAGTTATTTGAACGAGTCCGAGTAATTTGATTGGGTTAAAAAAAAAAAAACTTAAATAAATAAAATTGGATGTAGTTGGGCATACAGATGCATCCATAGTTGTAGAGGTAAGGTGCACCTTCAAATTTTATCATAGTATATAATTTTAATGTAAAATGTTCTTAGGCTTATCTCAAAATCTATTGTTATACCTAATTATAAAATTTTAAATTTTAAAAATGGTTAAAATCAAGTAGATCTATAAACATATGAAAATCTTGAAAATGGACGGTGTAGATAATATGTTGTAAAATGCACTATTTATGAGACTTAAAATATTTTTATTTTTCATGATCTTACATCTCGATGTCAAGATGATCAATCAAAGGGTTTTTCAACATTAAAACTACCTTTTCCGATGGATTTTTGAGGTGCATTCGTAGTTCTACATTATAAGGTTGCATCTGTATATAAATTTTTTCCAATAAAATTATATATATGCAAAATATTAGATTTCTTTTTTGAAGTTTTTTTTTTCACAAGGACCAGTGTTAGAAAGTGCAACTTGGACTAAGTACTCAGGCCGAGTCCGAGTAGCTGTACTTGGCCTAAGTCCAAAGTAATTGTACTTGACCCGAGTTGAGCTGAGTTAAGTGTTGAACATAAAAATAGGGCTAAAAGCCCCGCAAAAAAAATGGGAAGTTTGTAAAAAGAAATATTAAAATTTAATATGCATTGTTTTTTTTCATTATCACATAAAATAAGTGAGAAACTATTATAGGTATAATTGGTTTCCGAAAAGAATTTTTAGGCACCTAAGGAAATAATTCTTCAGTAAACAACTTATTGAAGGAAATTACATATTACAAAATAGTGAAAAACCTTACTCAATAGTACTAAGAATGACGATGGGGTTCGAGATTTTTTTGAGTTTTGCTATTACGGTTCATTGAGCCAAAAATAGTTATGAAGCCCGATGGAGTATGTAAGGCAGCAGCAGTGCTTCTCTACCAAGTAGAAATACTACATTGTGAAATTATTTGACCTAATCACCTAGACTTTGAAACTGCCTATGCTCCTCACCTCATTGGCCTATGTTTTGCCCATCATCACTGTTGTCATCGTCGTGAATAACCAACCTATGGTGCTGGCCACCTGTACCTCTCTCTAGCGATGTAGTTGTTATGTTCGGCTCTCTCGACTTCTTTCCAAACCAATATAAGCCTCTCTTCCTCCCCAAGGGAGCTCCTAGTACCTTGTGGCACCAGCACTCTACGACTGTTGGCTCATGCCACTCGTCTCGCATTACTCCATCATCGTCGTCATCCCCATCATTACGCTCATCGAAGTCTTCCTCATCTTCCACCATGTCTTCCACCACGTTCCCCTCATTGGTTGCTGGAATGTCATCATTGTAATTCATGTGTGCAACTTATTCTTCTAGGAACTCCTGATCTAGTATCGGCACCTTATAGTATGAGGGAGACTTCTCTATCTGGTACAACCTAAGTTCAAGGTTATATTGGACATAAACGAGGTTGCGCACTATCTTAATCTTCAACTTGTTCCCTCTAGAAGCATGTATCCACTGGAATGTACTCAAATTTCTCTCACAACTTGAGGCAAAAGTGGTTCACTCAAAA